GGGGAAAATGGGCGCGGAGGCCCCCCCCCCCCCCACACACATAAAGCCCATCTCTTGCATTTCACCAGTTCATGTCATCGCATATACGTTAATGTGGATGCTGTGACGTGAACCTATCCTTTAGTGCGAACCTTGATTCCCAGAAAGGACATCCTTGCAACTTTGCTTGCAAGCACGCTTTTTATTTTGTTTACCTTTTTAAAATACATTTCTGAATCCAGTGCGCCCCTCGGCTCAGCGAGAGTGACATGGCCTTTGCTCCAGCAGCCTCCTGCGTTTTTTTACATCAGATATCCTAGGATGCATTGGCTTCCACACTGCGGGTAGGGAAGGCTGGACCTGGCAGTGTCATAGGAAAGAAGATGGTATCGTGGGACCCAGCATGCAGTGGTGGATTGACGGAGCACAGCAGGACAACGCTGGATTCGTTGGGCATGTGACTATGTTAATTGTGGATAACCCCAGTGCCACTGGTAAGAGGGGATCTTTAACCACTTCTGGGTCGCAATACGTCCATATATGGCGGCCCACAGAAGTGGTTAAACCAAGAACAAGGCTGTTGCGGAAGCCGTGTTCTTGGTGTCATTTTAAACAGCCGGCGATCGCTGTTAATGTACAAGTGATCAGACGCCTATACAGCCGCTGCATCGTTTGTACAGGGTTGCTGCCGGCTTCCCCGGGCTCTGCTGTCCTCTGTGCAAGGCCCAGGACCAGCATGGCGGGTCTCCCCGCAACGATTGGAGAGAGATCCAGCGGCTACTGGCTGCTTATCTCTCCTCCGATCACTGGACCCAGAAGTGATGTTTATTACATCACTTCCGGTGTCACTGTTTACATTCTCCGGCTCATAGAGCTGGGGAAGCAGATCTCTGGTTCCTCGGCTTCTTTGGGGTCCCTAGGTGACATTAGGGGTCTGAAAGACCCCTGATGTCTCCATAAAGAGGACCTGTCACACCCTATCTGCTATTACATGGGGGGGGGGGCTTGTTTGGCCCCTATGTTATAGCAATAAAGGTAGTGTAAAAAAAAAAGTGTTAAAAAAAAAACAAAAAACATATAAGAAAATTGAAAAGAATGCAGAAAAGTTCCCCGCCCTCCACATGCGCGCACATACAAAACAAATACGCGTTGGTGCACCTACGTGCGAAAACGAAAATTGCGCTACACGTTACATATCGCCGTGAACGTCGGAGTGAGAGCAATGATTCTAGAGTCATTAATCACTGTTAGCACTAAACTCATGAGGGGTAAAAGCTTTTAAAGTGTCCCATATGGGAAATTTTGTGTACTGAAGTTTTTTGCGGCTTCACGCGCAAACGCAATTTTAAGGCTTGACATGTTTGGTATCTATTTACCTATTTATATTTTACCACCAAATTGGGTATCATATTCTGTTTCTGTGCACTAAATTTTGTGTATTTTATCCAAAAAATACTGGTTTGGTAAACATTTCTGCAAATACCGTTCGACATAAACAATTGCAAGTAGCATTTTTCTATTTTGCAGGGCCTCTGCTTTCAGAAAAATATATCATTGTTGTGTGTTTGAAGCTGTTTTCTAGCCAAAAATTTTGATTTTATCGTGTGTGCGAATAGTAAGAAAATGGTTCGGATAGCAAGTGGTTAAAAAGCACACATGGTGGATGAAGTTCCTCTTTCAGCACGGATAGAACAAGTGTGACGTATACAATGATATTACAGATTTCTTTTACCTTTCTGACCATGTATCATTTTACACCAGGGACGTGTGGTCAGGGGAGGCTAAGCCTCACCTAGTATTATGCTGGAAAACGCTGTCAGCTGACAGCTTTTTCTCCATTCAGATCGGCTTGTTGCAGGTTACACAGCAGGGAAAGCCTCCCGCTGTGTGACCCGTCATGGACGGAGCGTTGCCTGTTAATTACAGGCAACGCTGCATCCGGCTTTTGACAGGTAGTTAGGTTACACAGCAGCGGGCTTCCCCACTGCTTGTGTAACCTAACTTGGTGAGGCAAGAGCTGTCACAGCCTCTACTCTGTGTTATAGGCGTGAGCTGTGGATGGCTTGGACCAATAGCAAAGCACCATTGGTACAAGTTGTCAAATATTTTTAAAAAAACATTGATCTCTATGCCTCACCAGTGAAGAACAGGGAGGCTCCTCCTTATACAGCTTGGTTACTGAGGTGGGGCGGGGCTTTGGTGGGATGGGGTGGATCTTCAGCAGGCTTTTTTTTTTGCCTCACCCAGCACAGAAGGCTCGGCATATCACTGCTTTACACCCATATTCAGGGAGTAACATGAAACATGGTCAGATCGCTACCTTCCCCCCACTTACCTGAATCGCTGGGTTCTTCTCCCCACAGGCTGGTTTCCATTTTAGAATTTAGTACAGCTGTGCTGTCAAAGGATCTGTGAATGGAGAAACTACAAATCCAATCAATCAGCCACTGCAGCAGAGGGATCAGTAGTTCTCAATGGAATACAAGGGTGGTGACATCACTGCTCTTGTAGTCCATTCATTCTTCCATCCATGTTACTGAATGTGTGTCTAGAGCATTGCACCTCGTGGTTACAATGCTTCACTGGCGCCTGTGTGAAAACAAATAAACACAGCACATTGTTTTCTTTTATGATGTGCGCATTTATTTGTTTCTAAAAATGTGGAATTTCCCTTTAAATTATTTTCCGGTAACACCCCAGAACTTGTAGTTCCACATCGCTAGAGCTTCACGTTGTGCCTGAGATGTGGTGTCTACAAAATGTGTGTGCGTGCAGAAATACACATAGGGAGGCCATGCACCACACACAGGCAGACAATAACCAGGCAGCCTCTCTGACCTCAAGCGGCGTCACGTGACTGCGTCTGAAACTTGCAAGAGCATTACATCAGCCTGGGAACCAACACACGACCAAAACACAACTACTATTAAAGCGGCGACATCAGTGACCTCGGGGTGACCAGCGCTGACTACCTACGTTACGCCGCTGAAGTCACCGTGACATATACATTTTAACAGATAACATGATATTCCAATGGCGAGAATCCACTAGTCACGCGTGCGTGGTGATTTATCAGTATATGTATAGGTTATATGTGCGACTCCATTCGGCGGACCCTGTAGTTAATCTCCATTGCCTCTTTAAGAGCACTCTACGCGGGTCCCGTTCGAACTCTGATGTCTGTCCGAGCGAGATGCGATTGGCTGGAAATCACGTGAAGGCGAATAGGCGCTTTTAGCACGGAAGCGGGTGGGGAGGGTCGGAACGGAGTTCTGATTGGTCACCGGGGACGTGACGTGTCACCTATATAAGGCGCAGGAGGCAGCGCGCCCGCGCTTAGTTGGCGCTGAGACCTGGTCACGGAAGGGTCTTGTTGCTAGTTCTCGGCTGCTTTGGGGGCCTGTTACACAACAGATCAGCAACGCTGGGCAACGAAGCCGCCGTCGCTCCATCATCCAGCCCCCCCGCACTCTACAAGATGCAACGCGAAGCCGACACGGCCCATGAGGCCGAGAGTCACCCCGGGCTGGGTTTCCGCCTAGAAGCGCACCGCATCGTCAGCATCTCGCTGGGGAAGATCTACCATTCCCGGGTGCAGCGTGGCGGCATTAAGCTGCACAAGAACCTCATGGTGTCCCTGGT